AGATTAGGGAACAGAAAATAGTCACTCGGGGCTAGGTCTGGAGAGTAAGGAGGGTGCGGCATCAATTCAAACTTTAGATCGTTGATTTTAGCCGTCGCAACGATTGACGTGTGCGCTGGTGCGTTATCGTGATGAAACAAGATTTTTTTCTTCGCCAGATGAGGTCGTTTAATTTTCACCTCGTGGCTCAAACGTTGCAATAAGTCTGCGTAGTATTGACCAGTGATAGTATTACCCTTTGCAAGGTAATCAATGTATATAATACCTCTTGCATCCCAAAAAACAGTAGCCATAACCTTGTTCGCCGAAAAAATTGTTTTTGCCTTCTTTGGAGTTGGTTCCCCTGGTCCAATCCACTGTTTAGACTGTTCTTTGGTTTCAGGAGTGTAGTGGTGGACCCACGTTTCGTCAACGGTTACGAATCGACGCAAAAATTCGCTTGGATTACGCTTATACAATGACAAATTTGCGGTAGAAATGTTTTTTCGAATCAATTTTTGGTCGACTGTTAGCAAACGCGGCACCCATCTTGCACAGAGCTTTTCCATATGCAAATGTTGGTGCAAAATATGTTGCACACGTTCATATGACATCTTACAGGTCTCAGCTATCTCACGCACTTTCAATCTGCGGTCTCCCAGCACTATTTGATGAATTTTTTCGATCATATCTGGAGTTGTGACCTCAACGGGGCGTCCTGAGCGAGGCCCATCAGAGGTGCTCACACGACCCTTTTTAAACTCGGAAACCCACTGCTTAACGGTTGAATATGACGGGGAGGATGTCCCCAGTGTTGAGTCCATCTCTTTTTTAATTTCCTTCGGCGTTAACCCCTTCAAATAAAAGTATTTGATGACAGCACGATTTTCCTGCTTTTCCATTTTTACGAAAACCACAGAGGCGTCTTGTTCAGCGTGCTGTCAAACCTACACTAGCAAGGAGATCGGGCTGAAACTATAGCTACAAGCTATCCAAGGATGGTACTATAGAATGTCACCTCAAGGTAGGCCTAGTGGCGTCATCTCTTGGTTAGGCCGGAAACTTATCAATCCACCCTCGTATGATGATGAACATGCCATACTGCATGTGGAACCTTAAGCAAATTTGGAGTATAAGCGCTCATAGAAGAATTCGCAGTGCTTTTTCCACTGTTTCTTGGCTAATGATGTCTTTCCCGAAATAGTATGCAAAAAACCCAGAAAATTGCTTTTAATTATTCGTATTTTGTTAAATTTCACTTTAATGTTTCAATCACAAAATGGACGTCTGCTAACCAGGAAATTATGAGAATACCTTCGTTTCCCTTTATCATGACGAGGAACATGACTTATTACATGCGACGTTCCTAGGAAAATTTGTATATGTATATGTGCCCCTTTAAGGGCAGCGTTTTCCAAACCTTGTAAATTGTAGTTAACATTTAATTAATAATATTTACTTTTCATAGTTCATTTTTGTTAAACGTCTCTCTAAACTGTCAGTTTTAAAACGGACGTCCGCTAATCACAACATTCTACAACCGCTGAAAATTATTTATTAGTCTCTCCTCGCTTCTTATTCTGAAGATTACGACTATCTTATTTATCTTATGGACTTTATTTGGTTACAATGATAGAAAGCCAAATTTGAAAGTTGTCATTGATGAATTTTGGTGTAAAGGTTTTATCAAGGTAGGCTTTTGAGTATACAGCTTTTCCTGCAGACGGTATCGAATGTAAAAGTAGTATATTCGACACCATTTTTAAAAAAGCTGCTATTGACTTTAATACTCTCCTTAGCAAAAGCTTTACATCTAAACGACAAACGTTTTGGTGTTGGTTTAAAAAATAAATTGTTTTTTGCAGACTAAGTAAACATCTCTGGTTTGCGACACTCCGTGGTCAGGAATATCGATCGACAATGAGAACTAACGTGTGTTGGTCTTGATTGCATCTGTCGAAAGTATACGGATTCCTATCAATATTTCTAGTTTTGTTTGTTGATATGTCAACCAATAGTAGTAACTCGAACACAGAATTGTTGTGTCGTCGGGTGAAATTCTCGAAAGGTTAAAAATCCTCACTTGACTTTTTATGGGTTTCCAAAGGATCCATAGGAAATAGAGAGGCGAAAGAAATGGATTGCCAATGTGCTTTCGTAAAGCTGGCAAATCGTGGGAACCGACCAACCATTGCGTTTTACATCTTGAAGATAACAGAAAAATTAAAACATCCAGGAGAAGCTGCGACTTTTTCCTAAAATTTACGACCGGAAACATTTAACACTAACTCTGGAACGAGAAAGTGGCAGTAGCAGTCTTTCGAAGAACAGTTTCTTTGATGAAAATTTCATCATCCTGCCGTTCTTGTCTTGTTTTTCCTACACATCTTTAATGTGCAAATTTATCAAGACTTACAAATGGACTTATCCCAAAACCAGCTGATATTAACTTTTTAAAAATGATCTTTAATGATGAAACCCATATTTTGATCGTACTTTTAAGGAAACGCGACGTTGAAAAAGGTTTCAAGTTTATTGCTTGAAAGCATAACTCATTATCTGTAACTGACTCTCTCTCTAAAATTCAGGAAATCGCCGGTGGTGGCGTTGTTGTTCCGAAAGCTTGATGCTTACTTACGATTAGCCCATAACTCTTAAGAATCAAGTATGTTAAATAATGTTATGTAAATATCGTAGAATTACCACAAAAAAACCACGTTTTCATTTGCATGTAGGTGAATACATCAGCATAAAATACCATTGTCCCATAATTGGCCAAAACTAACATACTCACATTACTCCATTGTTTTTGCACATTACAGTAAAATTTATTTTTGAACGCCGCAGTCTCGCGTGAATTGCATTAATTAATAACCGAGAAGTGTAAAAGTAATTAAACTTTCACGAATTTTATTTTTTTTTAATTTCGAATATTTTCTATGCCGAAAGGAGAAACTGAAAATGCATTATTTAAAATATAATTTTGTTGTATTTATTGTTTATGAATGACCTTTAAAGTAACGTATTTAAATTGTAGTATGTATTCACTTCAACATATACATATATAGTTTCTTTACAAAAACCGCTAATGTAACTACCTGCATGTAATTCTTTTGTAAAAAATATTTTCTACTTAATGTTGGCGTTTTTAAAATTATATTAAATAATATTGATGATTTGAATAACAAACAATGAACACAAACTGTAAGGACGTTTCCTGCGAATTTCTTTTTTTAGTCCTTGGCATTTTAAATTTTTTGCTAATTTTGCTGCATCTTAGGAAACTTAATTATAAAGGGGCCCATGATTTTTAAAACTCTCTACTAGCGTAAATTATTTACAATTCTTTATATTAAAGGATAGAATAGTAAATTTTGTATTTTCTTTTAAAATCATTGAACTTTTTATATTAAATACTCGATTTTATTGTAAAACTATTTAGAATGCCAGAGTGTTTATGGATTCCCAACAATAATATTAAACAAAATTAAGGTTATTGTAAATTTATACAAAAACTGATTCACGAAATAAAAGGAAGATCAACAAAAGTGTTATCCTAATATAATAATATAAATATTATTACGCCAATAAGAAATAGGCGAGATAGATTGGTAGGACACCTTCTCAACGATGTTACAGACATATTAGAAGCAGAAGCAGGAGTTAATAGGGGTAGAGGTAGACAAAAATTATATTAGGTATTGTTTGGAAACGAAGATGTAAGTTTTTCGAGAAATGCAGAGATAGGCTCAAAAGTTCAACATAAGAAAAAGTGGAGGTGCGTGCCCAACCAGCCTTCAGGCTAAAGATCTTCTGATGACGACGAATAAAAAAAAATAAATAAAATGGAAACGTCAGTGACAGAATAGTATTGAATGATAATAAATAAAATTAAAGCAAAAATATTGGCATGCAAAGGAAGTGGAATAAAATATAATAAAAATTGGAGACGGAAAGCCGATTTCAATATCAAACAACTCGAGGTGGAGGAAGTGGTAGATTCATAAAACAAGGAATAGCACAGGATTAATTCGATAATTCAAAAACGATTAGTTATTAAAAGGGCTCTATATAAGGATGCGAAACAAGAAGCAGCGGAAAATAAAAAGTTAGAAGCGTTTGGTGTTAAACCGCATATAGTAAAAATACTTTAGTTATAAAAGGTTGGAAATGAGGAGGTATTGGATAATGTAGACAAACAGGAGGTTAATAATGACAAGAAGTTGGATGGTAGGATACTTTCTGAGATATAAAGCACTAGTTGGAGACATATTAGAAATTAAAAGCAGAAATAGGCGCAATAAGTAGCAGAGGAAGACTCAGATTTGTTGTCTGTTCGCAAACAGTTAGAAAAGTGGGATATGTTCTACTTTTCGGGAAATGATTCTTTACAGTAATGACCTTGTACTGATAATGATGGTGAACAAGCCTTACTATATGTGGCACCCGTAAGCAAATTTCAAGTGTAAGCCCCTATAGAAGAAGGATTCACAGTACTTTTGCCTCTGTTTCTTAGCTATTTTTTTCTTTCCCGAAATAGTAGGCAAAAAAAAACAGAAAATTGCTTTTCATTATTGAAACAAAAATTACAACCGATGAAAATTATGAGTTTATCTTTGCCTCATATTCTCATGATGAGGAACATAGCTTATTACCTACATGTGAAGTTCTTAGGCAAGTTTCAAGTATAAGTGCACCGTTTTTTAAACCTTTTAAAACAAAGTAAGTTATGATGATGCATTTTTAGTCAGAATTATCAATTAATTACTTTTATAATCCGTAATTACATTAATGAAAAAATGCCTTAACGTTATGACGCTTCTAACCAGTGCATAGGCTAGCATGAAATTTTTGGAGTATTTTAACGTTAATTTTTGTATTATAAGTGTAGTATAATTTTTCTAGTATAATTAGGGACCCAAATTCAAAGCCAAATATTTTACAGGTGAGAGAAATTTTGGCACGCTTCCGTTTAGACGTAAATTTTGTAAATAATCGTGACAACATATGTTTAAACTTACATCTGGATGTTCCTTAACTGGTACATAGACTTTTTCCGTGAGTGTCATCACTTGTCCTTCAGGTTCAGGTAACACTAAAGGTTCCTTTTTAACTCCATTTATTTGAAATAGACTTGCCCTCACTTTGGCAATTTCTGTAAAAAAAGAAATTCGACTGTTAATAAAACAATATCTCTCAAAGTAACTTATAGTCAAACTTCCCTTAGAGAAAGTTTGAGTTGAGGAAAGTTTCTATTTTTAATTTTTTTTTTTTGAATACATTGCATTTACAAAAATAATAATAAACTATTGAAATGTTCAAAAAGAAGCATTAGTAAGGAATAATTGTGTCCATGGGTTTTTACTGTTAAATATATCACTTCGATAACCAAAAATGATAAAATTACACAGCGCTACTAAATATGAGGGTGCATTCTTGAGATTTAATGGGCTTTTCGATTAGATCTCAAAAATGCACCATTAGCTTTTCACGCTAACTCAAACATTATGTTCTTTAGGAGTTTTTATAACATCTAGGAAATTAAATTTTAAATAAATACCTTGTTGGAAAATTCTTTTACTAGTTTTAGT